CCCCCCCCCCCCCCCAATGACCCTGGTGCTCTTAGCGCCTGCCTTAAGAAGCAGGTGTGGAATCTCAAAGAACAAGACTACAGTCAGACCAGTTGTTTAAGCTACAGCTTTCAGCTTCAGGGGGAAATGTGCACGTTTGGGTTATTTGCAGCATTTCTCCACGCACACAACAAGGCTAACGCCTTAAACCAGTAATAAAAGTACGACCCAGCAAGAAGTAAGACACGTGGAGTGGTTGTGATCGATCTTTCCTCCTCGTTGTGACCGTGTCAGGCGCTGTGCTGTCATGCATCACACAGAAACACACAGCGCCACAATCATCATCATCATCACCTGACACCTTTCTCCGCAGAAAGGTCAAATGTCTGTTTTCTGATTATTGGATGTTTTCTGCACTTATTTTTTAAGAATTGGAGATTTTGAACATTGTATTCTAAATGAAACACTTCAAAAATGGGTTTAAAAAAACAAAACAATCATAAGCCCATTGATTAAGAATTGTGGAGCAGCAATTTATATTTGCCACTGATGATACAAGAATAAATTATTTGGAAACCCTTGTTTACCTACCCGTCTCCTTATGGTCTTTATTTGTGGTTCTGAGAACAAAAGCTGGAACAGGAAACATGACATCGGAGCAATACGTGAAAATAAAAGTGAAACGAGATAAATGTTAAAGTGTTGTGGGCCTGGCATTTCTTGCACTGCCGGATGTCTGCCACCTTTGAAGCCAGAGGTTTAGCCTCAGTTTGGTGAATGTTGATTAGCTGTGAAAGACATTTTAAATCTGATCGACTCCAAAAGTTCATTGTAGAAGGAAACCCAGTGATCAATAAAGTCTGTCTTGTGGTTCCTGAGATATTTTCAACTATTTCAGATCGTCAACAGAGTGACACAACCTGAACTCCAGCTGTAGATGCTAAAGGTCCAGGCAAATGTGCAAAAAGTAGCACTTGGAGTATGTGTAGGTGATGACTGTCAGCTACTACCACAACAAAATGTAGGTCGATATGTGTAAAATGACTTACCCAGGGTCGTTTTAGTGGTTTCATGTTGCGTTGTTTATTTGCAGGTTAGCACAAGGTCAACAATGAAATGTTCAGGAGAAGAACCCACTTGGACTCGCTAAGAAAAAAAAGAAATACTAAAGCATGCAATAAAGGTACAAAATAAGGTACCAAACATGTAAAATAAATTAATATTTACAAGGTCCAAAAGAAAAGAAGGATTTTGAGGGTCAGTTGGCTCTGGCAGCCATCTTGAATCAGTTGTCCATCCTGTGACTGGTTTCTGTAGTTTCATTCAAATGTGTATTTCATGCACTATTTTTGCCTAACAAACATTTTCAAGGAATAAATGTGAATTATAGGCAAAATGTTTATAGTGTGTTTGGACATTTATTTTTAATTGATTCTAGATGTTTTTTTTTTTTTGTATAGTTCTCCCTTTCCCTCCGTACATTTTTTGTTTCTGATCACTTTTATGTATTTTTTTAATGTTTAGTTTTCTCCAGATTTTGCTTTAAGCCTGTCAGTTTGGAGCTGGACTTGTCTTAACTTGACGTTTATGATTATTTTTTTGTAACCGTTTATTAAAACTTGTTTTTCCCAATGATTCAAGGCAGTGAACCAGAATCATCACTATAATTATATATTTAAAGGCAGTT